TGAAATGTTAGATTTTGGTTTCTTAAAACTAGTTCTTGTACAGAAAGAAAGACAATTTTGGAAATAACGACAAAATAATGCACTGACATCAAATGGAATGGTAAGTTCATTGCTTCTCAAAATAAGGAAAAAATGTAGAAAATGCATGTTTTGATTACAACTGATTCTCTGTATATCTACATGCTGGAAAATGTATCATTTCATGTCAGGCCTCAACTCACCAAGTGTTCAGTTTGCTTTGGAAAGATTGACATGCTCAAGCAAACGTTGTGATTATTTGACTGAGGTTGTGAAAGGGTGCTCATATCACACATCTTCTATTGCCAGGTTATGCAGTGATGAAGATGCACCTTTAGTAGTGTCAGTCAAATTGTTTTAAAATGAAATGCTTGGATGTTTACAGCAACAACTCAAGTCCCTGAACCCAATAATTGGCAGACTTTTATTTGCAACAGAGACACTTGCTTCTTCCCACTGACCAACTGAATTGCTAAACTGAGATATTACACTATCACGTTGCACCTTGTCCTTTTATATTTACTTGTTTTGGCACTACTGGTATGTCACATTGTTTCTATTTACACTTTCAGTTCTGGATGTGTCTCTCAAATTCCGGTCAACCTGGCTATCCTGGTGTTCAATTGTGTCTTACCAGCTGGGGAGAGCCACAATGCTAATACAATGAATTCTACAAAACAAAAACTGAAAGAACTGTAAATGCTGTAAATCAGGAACAAAAACAGAAGTTGCTGGAAAAGCTCAGCAGGTCTGGCAGCATCTGTGGAGTGAAATCAGAGTTAACGTTTGGATCCTGTGATCCTTCCTCAGAGTTCTGAGAAAGGGTCACCAGACACGAAACATCAACTCTGATTTTTCTTCACAAATGTTAGACCTGCTGAATTCCGCAAACTGTCCAGTGAAGCTTCAACATATAATCATACCTTTAGCCTTTCATTTCTTTTTCCGAGCTGTTAAATTCATTTTGTTTTAAAATGCAGGACCCTTAAACTCAAAGTCCTTTGTGAAAAAAGTAAATCTAAATCTCAGACTGCAACACTAAATAATTATTAATCAATTACTCCAACATCAGTTCTAGGGAAGCTCTTAGAATTCATAATTCAGGATTAAATTAATGTGGATTTAGAAATACATGGACTAATCAAATATCACCAGTAGGGATTTATTACAAGGAAGTCATGCTTGACAATTTTAACACTGGGTTGCATTCAACACCCCCATGCATCTTTTCAGTGGGGGACACAAAATATGACATGTAGCTGACCTTCCTAACTAACCTGACCTGTTCCCCATGAAATAGCAAATGGACAAGCGTTAGCAGAGAAGCTGCTAATTCCATTTATAAAAATAATTATAAGGCAATTAAGCAAAACAAGCCCATTGATCTGAATGTTACACTGCCCTCACCATCATATGATTGCCATGGTTGGATGGGTGGCAGTCAGAAGGTCACTTTTTAAAATACATTGTTAAAGAGGAGGGAAGGAAGGAAGAGATGCATCATTCCACGGCCGTCCATTGTCGCAGTCCTATCAATGTTCTACGTAATTTTGATTAGGACTTCAGACCGATGAAGGTTCAAAGTTTGACCCTCACTCCCTCAGACCTCCCAGGGCACATGACAGCCTTGTGGGCTGTTAGTTAGTGTGACACCAACTTTTGTTCCAGTGGGAGAATGGAGAAGGGGGCATGGATGAGTAATACACACTCTTGTATATTTATCTATCATTACATGCATATTCAAAGATATTGTGTATTAGCTTTTAGTATGGGAACAAGGATGCCATACTGTAGCTGTTCAGAGTCTTGGAGTGAGACTGTATGTGCCATAGAAGAAGTGCAGTGAAGACTGATTCCTGGTTTGACAGGTTGTCATATCAGGTGAGATTGGGTCAATTCAGTCTGTATTCGCTGGATTTTAGGAGGATGGGAGAGGATCTAGTTGAAACACACAAAATTCTGACAGGGCTGGGCAGACTAGATGCAGGGAATGATGCTTCCCCTGGTCGGGATGTCTACAGCAAGGGATCACAGTCTCAGGATACTGGGCAGGCCATTTAGGACTGAGATAGATGTGTTGAGATAGAGGGTTAGCCACAATTAGCAATGTGGTGAGCTAAGGAAGGCACATCTGTTGCTAACAGCCATTGTGAGCTGAACAAACCTTCACTGCAGCATTATAAAATGGTAAAATCAACATTTAATGTGTCAGCCAATGCATTAGATCAGTGCTGATGGGAGCAACTCCTTGAAGCAAGTAGCTTGCAATAGGAGGAATTTGATGCTATTCCACTAAGGCCAGTTGGAGAGATAAACAGCTGCATTGACCTTACATGGACACGTGTTCGGCACAGTCTAGGGCTATCTGGCCTCCTTTAACCAACCACTACCTGCTGCTATGACCTCGCATTTCTGACATCCACCTTCTTCCTCTTTTTGAATCGACAAATTTGCTGTCAACAATAATGTGTGGCTCTGTCAATATGCGTGCTCTGGTGTTTCTTTAAATAATTAGCCCTTATTCAAATATCTGGTTTCTCCTCCCATCCAATGCACCAAAATCGGATGACAATCCTATAGGCATCCTCATAACTGACTGAGTCTCTCAAAATTTAACCACTGGGCTAGTTATCTGTAGTTCTAAAGTACCAAATTGGACATAGTCCCGACTCTCTGTTTTAAAAAAAAGTGAAATTTTGTAGAAAATAGTGGCATCAACTTGAATCACTGAACCTGGACCACTGCACCTGAGCTCAATGTTACTGGATCAATATTTAATGCAAGAGTTGGCATACCACCACAACACATCATTAGGATGTCATCATTAGATGTGCTGTCATTAGCACATCTTCTTCCTTAACCTAACCATTATGTAAACAATCTTTGAGGCTGCATTCTCAACAACTACCAATGTGAAAATAGTCAGGTTCAGATCTCTGTTCTGTTTCATTCATTTTTGCCAGGTTAATTTTCATAATAATTATCAAATATAGTGAGTGATGAAAATAGATCCAGAATCAGATACAAGATCCCAGAGGGAAAAAAAAAATTGTATCCTGTTGATCCCTCGGGGTTAACCAGAACCACAAGCTGCAAGGAATGCCTCAATGGTATCAGTGAAAAACACCACATAGCCAAGCATTTCCGATGTATGGCTCTGCCTCACACCAAGGGTATTGATGTAGTCAGTGAAATACTGGAAGTAGCATCACTGTGTAACTACACTTGTGCCCCAAAATGGAGATACACCTAATTCTCAGCCAACAAATGAAACTGAGACTGAATAAGAATAATTAATCCATTAGTTTAAAATAAAGGAAACTAAAACAATTATTTTAGACATAAATCAGAAGTCATTATCTATAAGAATGCAGATTTTGGTTCTTCTGTCCTCCTATCATCACCATTTCAACAGCATTGGGGCTAGAAAGACATGGATTAAGTCAGCCATTTGCACAGCCTTCTATTTGAATTTGATTAACATATAGTGACAAGATAAACCTGTGCAGAACTGTTGTGGTTAGTCTTTCCAATTGAGGGAATCATCTGATACAGCAACTTGGAAGCTGTATGGTTTTCAATGTTGACCAAAGGACTGAATATTGCACTGTGAAAGTCGTCTTTCTTCATCCAGGTTGGCCCAGCTTTATATTTGGTATTTGTGATAGAATACCACGAAAAGTAGATCAAATTTAGTAGCTAGGGATTTTGAAGCAGCGACTTAAAATGGTGACTTCAATTTCTCAAGGGTCAAAAGCTTGTGGGTTCACGTCTCGCTGTAGAGAATTAAGCACAAAAATTCAGGCTGATTCTCCAGGGCAGTGCTTGAGGGACTGCTGAAGTGTTTGCAGTGTCATCTTTATGTTACAATGTTAAACTGAGTTCTAGTCTGTTCCCTCAAGTGGACAGTATGTTCTTTATATCAACATGCAAATGAGGAAAAGGAGCCAAGGACTTCCTCTTAGGAGACACCAGAGGGAACAGTTCAGAGATAGGAAAATAAATCAGCGTTGCTCTGCTTTGGCTCCAACCGGATAGGTAAATATGGAATCAAGTGACGGCAATGCCATTGTAAAGGTAATAAGTTGAGAATGATGGTTTGGCCAAACACACGCAAGCTGTAGAGATCTATGAACTTTGGTAGACAAGGGGTTAGGCAGGGAACTAAGCAAGGGTTGTTGACCGGATAACTTTCTAGTGATAAAGAATTTCTAAGCTCTTTATACTCGATACTGACAGTGAAAGTGAAGTAACAGATGAGGATCATCATGTGCAACCCCGCAGAGCAAATTCTACCCCCGAGTCTCCACCATCTTCACAATTTAATCAGTTTCTTGATTAGAATCCAACTGGTATTGAGGAGAATTTGTGTTTTAAGTATTCAATGTGTTTTGTGTGACTCCAAATATTTTGTTAAAATGTTTTCTAACAATTAAAGCTTGTTAAGATAGTTCTGTCCACAAAACTGAGCTGGAAATGCAAAGAAAGATGTGTTCTTGCTCTCATTTTGATTTAATCATTGTATTTCATTCTGACAGCTTCTATAAACGAACTGGTTAGACAAACCAATGAATCAAACTGTTTTACTGTGTTGGATAATTGTTTTCTTTCCAAATATAATAATTACCATTTGAAGGATACAAAAGAAAAGCCAGTTCAATGAATTCACAAACCAAAATAATCCTATCTTCAATTCTTTGTAATTCTGCTTTTGTTCTCTAGCAGCCATTTTAGTGATCAAATCATGACAGTGATTAATGTCATTCAGCCACATGTAAGGACTACAAAAAGACAGACAATAACATTAATTTATAGGTGCAAATGATTGGTATTTTAATTTCATGGCCTTTTAAAACATGCCATTACCACATGAAAGAAATGATTGTTTTAGAGCTTATAATTTCACATTTTACATAGTCAGCATCAAGGAAAAGAAAGTTGCAATTTTTTTAGTCTGCCCCTCTTTGTACACCAACTGTTACCTGAATCCATGGCCATCTGTCATTCTCTGCAGCTGTCCACGCATTTACAAGGCCTTTTCTATTCAGTCTGGCATAGTATGGGTACCACTTCTGCAGGCCAAACAGAGCTCGGTGTGTGGAGGATGCAGAAATCTGTTGATTGGATATAATCCCCCCCTCCATCCCTAAAGGTCCTGAACATTCTGTGGGCAGAAAACAGTTTAATCAGTTGCTAGCAACAGGGATGAGTTAGAATTCCTTTCTAATAAAAAAAGATATAATGTAAAGGTAAATCGATCATTATAAAGAAATGATTCTGCATATATAAAAACAGTTGGGCTTTTAATAAGAACCATTTCATTGTGGTTGTGCAGTGTTTGCAAGGATTTGCAACATTAGTGTTTATAACATAGCTAATGCTCTTGGTTTTTCTAGCCAAAGTATATGACCAAACCTATGAATTCATTGCCACTTTAACAGTGAATTGTTGTAAATGAATGTGAAGGGCAGGATTTTCCTGAGGGAATTCTGAATTCTGCCATCGGCTTCAAATAGGGGTCAGAAGGGAACACAGCGTGAGAAACATCGTCAATCACCAATGATTGTCTCTCAATCAGTTAACATTTTCTAATTTAAACCGAAAAGAAAGCTTTTGCAATTAGGCACTATTGTGGAGGGTAAAGTCTTCCTTGTTGTAGTCTGGGGCTGCTGCCAAACCATACCCCTACACCCAAGAAGAGAGCTGCTCCTCCTCCTCCAGCCCCGCTGGCCTGCCACAAGAAGGCTAATCCTCATAACTATACCATACCTATGGGACCGGGAATCCATCTGGAAAATCTTAGTCAACATCCAACAATAAGCCTGTAATTGGGAGTCAGCTCACCCTGCCATTTGAGAAGATAGACCAAAAAGGCTGGATAGAGCCAGGGACCTGACACATGGTCACTGATGCAAAATTCTGTGTTCTGCCATGTCTATTTCTGCTCCCAGTAGGGGCTAAGAATTCAACTCCAAGAAAAATGTTCTGAATAGAATAATTTTAGATGAAAAATAGTTGGCTGCAAATTTGCTTACCCTGTTACTTGGACGTGAGAATTACAATTCACGACCAGCACAAGTGGTTCCGTTAAACACATGCAGCACAAATTTGCACTGCCACCTCATTCACGTGATTGGAATGTAGGATCAAGCATGTTTTGTGCTGCTGGCAGTGTGGCACTCCAAAAGGCATAGAAGGCACAGGCAGTGAACTGTATTGAGCTGAGAACACAGGGAGTAGCCAGCCTTCTGTTCTTAAAGGCAGGCTGTCTGTTATGAAGGTAAGTTGCACTGACTAAAACTGTGGCAATTTCAAATATGGAAAATGAAACTGCAGAACAGAGAAAGGACTGTGGCAAAACTATTGCTGGAGGTATTCGTGTTGGAGATGGAAATGAGGGGAGATTTCAATGTTCCACAATGGCTGAGATGCCTTCAAGGGGTCATTCTCTGGAATAGTGATTAGGCAAGTCAATTTCTGATATCTGGACAAGAGGACCTACAGCAGTGATCCAAGAGTCTAATGACCTCATATATGGTCAATGCCAATGTACCATACTCCCATGACACACCAAGGAGCACTACTCATACAGTCATTGAGTTATACAGCACAGAAACAAACCCTTCGGTCCAATATGTCCACGTTGACTAGTTATCCTAAACTGATCTAATTCTATTTGCCAACATTTCGACCATATCCCTCTAAGCCCCTCCTACTCATGTACCCAAGTCTCTGTCATTCAGGAATCACACCTAAACTACAGATTCTCCAACTCATCCTCACACATCTACCAATGCTGCCAGCCTCACGCCCACCTCTTGCTGCTTCTCCAGAACTCCAGTGGTTTAGCATTGAATGTGCATCTACTAACACAGCAGAAACAAACAATGACAGCATCACCTTAATAAATTGTTATGATCTCTCTACAATAAGTTGGTACAGTTTCGAATTACTTATTACACTCTCTGTCGCACACACACTCACATACACACATATGCACACCTACACACACACAGACTCTCTCTCACACAAACACACACACAGACCCTGTCTCTCTCTCTCTCTCTCTCTCACACAGACACACACACACACACACACACACACACACACACACACATAAATCTATGGAGTGAATCATCTCATCCAAGATGTTTGTTTATTTGCAAATACATTCTGTTTTGTTCAAAAAACACACAATTTGTAGTCACAGTCAGTCAATGTGGCATCTTATAAATTCGTGCTTTCGGAATAAAACCAGCCTGATTCCAGATTGAAACTCAGAGACAGATTCTGAACAAGGCCTCCCACCTACAATTCAGTGTCTGACTGAGATGTCACCTTTTGTATGTTCCTATGGCTCTGTCTGATTGTCATGACAGCACAGCACTGACAGCGACTTTGTAAACACTTTACTCACCATCTAACACTCTTGGTCACCTGCAGAGACTTATTATCTGACACTCTACTCACACCAGTTGAATGATCTTTTAATCTCTATGCCCTTGATCCCTCTGCCTACAAACTCTGTATCTGTGTGCTCTGCTGTCTCACTGCACCTGATGAAGGGGCTGTGCTCTGAAAGCTTGTGTGATTTCAAATAAACCTGTTGGACTATAACCTGGTGTCGTGTGACTTCTGACTTTGTCCACCCCAGTCCAACACCAGCACCTCCACGTCATTCTTGCAGAATGAACTGGCAAACTATGGAAAGCAGACCTGACTGGGGACAAGGATGCCTGCATCTTCCAGGCCCTATGTGTAAGTTGGTTCTCAACATTATGAAACCAGATGCAATAGAACCTGTATCCACTATCATGACTGAGAACATTGTGGAAGACAGAACATTCCTGATTTAATTTCTTCTCAAATGCCAGCACACATTCATCCAGATATTTGGCATGATGAGCAATCATTACATTCTTGTACTTCACTCAAATCCCTTCCTTCACATAATCTTCCAGTTTTGATCTTCTGCTTTACAATACCAAACAACTACTGCCTGTCCAACCACAGGAGATCCATGAGCAAGAGAAAGGGAGAAAGAGCAGAGCAATGATAAAAAGGTCTCGCTACATTATCTGAAACTCATTGGCACAAGTTCACATACTGACACTGCACAAATGCAGGTACTTTAGAGGAGGGAACACATGGTGCATCACTGGACCTGCTATCAGGCCGGGGTAAGCAATAGTTTGTTTTCCAGTTCACCAGAGTGAGAAGTCACAGCTGTGTTCTGCTGCAAAGACTCAGACGATAACCTCAACAAGGTGCTACATAGGCGAGAACTGACTGGCTTGCACCCTACATTCCCTCTAAATATTTTTCTTCAGCACAACCTCCAATGTCAATTGGCATGTGTGGTCTCTTGGGCTGTGCAGCTTCGAGGGAATATTGTCTGCACCTCAAGATATTTGGTTCATTGATCGATTCACCAAACAGCCTGCTGTCACCGTCAAGAAGCTTGGAGGCCTCTGGCTCCAACTTGGCAGTGGGCACGATGCAGACCTTTTCCCCTTCATAGCATCTGCTCCATCTCCCTCTTCTACTGCAGACCCTGTGAGAAAGCATCAACAGCCGACAAACCTGCTGCAGCCCTTGTACTAAAAGGTCATCTGTTCCTCTGCTCTCCCTCAATACATTGTCAAGTCCAGAAATTCATTTCAACACCCCAAATTTTGTTGACACACTTTGTCGTACAGTGCTTTATCAAGAAATTGTGGGTCATGCTCTTTAACTGGCACTGGCAAGGGCTCAACTTGCACTCTTGACTTATTTGCAAAGTGATACGGGCAAATAGGATGAATGGGCCTGGACAGTTCAAATTAGGGAGTATTTTGTATTTGTCCATGGGATGAGGGCGTCACTGGCTGGGCCAGCATTTATTTCCCATACATAATTGGCCAGAGGGCAGTTAAGAATCTACCACATTGCTGTGGGTCTGGAATCACATGTAGTGTGTGAATCAAAAGGGTTTTTATAACATTCAACAATGAATTCATGGTCATCCTTAGATTCTTAATTCCACCATCTGCCATGGTGGGATTTGAACCTAGGACCTGATGACATTACCTGGGTCTCTAGATTAACAGTCCACTAAGTCATCACCTCCCCTTCAACATTATATCAAGTCCAACATAATATCTGCCAAAAGGGTAGATTAGTGCTAATACCAGCATTGGCGGTCACAGTGGAATCTTGTACAAGGGATCCGTTTCAAGACTGTTTGAATTGGCACAATTTAGCTGTGTTCTGCATAATGATATTAATGAAAGAACAAATGGAGAAAACAATAGCAAAAAAAAATTGATGCAACTTATGTTTCAGAGATAGTAGGAACTGCAGATGCTGGAGAATCTGAGATAACAAGGTGTAGAGCTGGATGAACACAGCAGGCCAAGCAGCATCATAGGAGCAGGAAGGCTGACGTTTCGGGCCTAGACCCTAGAAGTAAGCGCGGAGGCGGAGGTGGCAGAAAAACTGCTCTATGTCCAAATGTGACCGGTATTCGTTGATGTGTGGGAGGAGGGGGACAAAGGTGAGCCCTTTACTGAGGACTGACCGTTCGTTCTCAGTAAGGGGGATGTCTGGGGGGATGGTGTAGACTCGGCAGGGCTGGGTGTTGCTGCCTCCTCTGGAGCTGCTGGCTGTGGAGGCGGTGGGCGGAGTGACGTTGGCGTCGGCTGTGGGCGGAGTTGCTTTGGCGTTGGCGGTGGGCGGAGTTGCATCGGCATTGGCGGTGGGCAGAGTGGCGTCGGCGGTGGGCGGAGTTGCTTCGGCATCAGTGGTGGGTGGAGTGCTGTTGGCGGTGAGTGGAGTGGAGAAGTAAGCGCGGAGGCGGAGGCGGTGGAAAAACTGCTCTATGTCCAAACGTGACCGAGAAGTAAGCACGGAGGCGGAGGTGGAGGCGGCGGAAAAACTGCTCTATGTGGAGGCGGAGGCAGCGGAAAAGGGTCTAGGCCTGAAACGTCAGCCTTCCTGCTCCTCTGATGCTACTTAGCCTGCTGTGTTCATCCAGCTCTACACCTTGTTATCTCTGATGCAACTCATGTGATGTTTTTGATGAGATATAACAACATCTCTGGCTAACCTGTTCTGTATCTGTCGGATAACAGTTTAAATAGCTAAATTCACATAATTGTTTATGCATGCAGGTTCCTGTGGTTAATAAGAAGGTAATTGTACCCTCTTTCAATGTCTGGAACCGAGACTATGGGGAAGGCCAGATTCCCAAGATTATACAAGTCAGCAGTAAATGATTGCTTAAGTGCTTGTGAAACATGGTATATACCACAAATATATTAAAGGATTGACCAAGAGACAAATGTGAGAAAATAAACACTAGAGAACCGTAATTACAAAATGACTTTTTTTTTCAAATAATGTGCGATTTGCAGAATATTTCCAATGCTTTACACTGTCAAAAGGAAAATTTACATCTCAATCTAGTAATGCGTGATCTGAATAAATTTCCTTTACCTCTTTTAGGTTTCTTCAACTTTTCTCTGTTCTTTCACTCCGTTGAAAAATTACCAGTTAGGAAACATTTCCATTGTCTAATCTTTTACCAAACAATGCATAATTTCAAATTTAATTAAGTTGCCATATATCATCCCTTTCCTCTGGCTTGCTTAAACCTCCTGGATTTTTCCTCAGATAGCCATGTTCTTTAAGATATTGTTTTCAAATTTCCACCATTCAGCCATTCACATACATGAAAAACAATAGAAAATCTAACAGAGATCTATAATTTGTGTCAGTTTATTAGATGTATTTTCCATATCCATGTCAC